GGGGAGGGGAAAGGGAGCAGGGCAGGAGAGGGGAGAAGGGGAGGGGAGGAAAGGGAGGGAGGAAGGATATAATTATCCCATAACTAAATTAGCTCTACTTGAGAGGACCCAAAGATAACAAAGTGAAAATCACACTCAGCAGTATATGATACATGACACTTGATTTTTATGTTCCCGCTCTTAAAAGTCTTGTTTTCCTCAGCTCCAGGTCAGTTCAGCAGAGCTTTAGCGGATACCAGGGGACTGGATGTCTGCTCTGAAAACGGAACCTCACGTGGCTCTGGGTCCATCAACAGGTACAAATAACACGAAACAGGAAGTCACATCTGAAAAACGCAGTTTCCTGCCCAATCTGAACACGCGGACTCCCTGGCGGCTGCCAGCACTGCCGCTTGGCTGCCCTTGGTCAAGCATGCTGTGACGGGAGCCTCCGTTTCCTGAGCTGCAGGTTTTGACTTAGCTGGAACCAAGTTCTTTCCTTTCTTCATTTTCAAGTGTGTCCTGAGGCTCAGTGGCTCCACGTCATCCCCAGCGGTGGGATTAATTTTACACGGAGGGGTTCCCTTATGAGGTGTCGCCATATGCATGACGCAAAGGGAGACCTGCCCATCGGTGGGCAAAACCCCTTCTCAATGTGTGGGAAGATACTCGGGGCCGAGATCTTTTTTAAATTTTCACTGAGAAAATACACCAAGATACAAAAGTTAAAGAAAGGGAAAGTGAGACCCCAGTGCACATCACCCGGCTGCAGACCCGGGACCGGCCCTGCTTCTCACTCTGAAGCTGCCTGGGACCCGTTTCACCCATGAAGGCCAGCACCTCTGGAGAGGATGGTGACTTTAGGACATAACAGGATGGCCATGGCCACTCCTTAAAAATGAACAGTCATTCCTCAACGCCAGCCAAAAGTCAGTGTTCACATCTCTCCAGTTGTCTAGTCAGTTTATTTTTCCAGTCAGTATCTTGGAAATAATAATTCAATCAAGGCATACACACTGCACAGAGTTGACACCTTCTGAAGTTTCTTCATCTATAGCAAGGATTGACAAACTTTTTCTCAAAAAAACTAGATAGTAAATATTTTAGGCTTTGTGAACATCTTCCCTTTAAAGAATACTGGAGTTTTTCCCAGAAATAGGAGGGAAAAGTCTGAGATGCCTGCTACCTGCAATACTATTTAATATTGCATCAAGCTATGATTGGCTTATGCCATCGGAAAAAAGAAATCCATTAGAGACATAACAGTCAGAAGAGAAAAGGTAAAACAATCTCTACTTGGAGCTAATATGGCCCTAAATCTGAGAAATCCAAAATCAAATAGCAAAGAAAATTACTAAATCAATAAAGTAATTTAACAAAATAGCAGGTTATAAAATCAATGAGAAAACATCAATAGCCTTTATATACACAAAGTTAGAAGATACACTGGGAGATGAGACTATTTGTGATAGCAAAAAATATACACCTGGGAATAAACAAGAAATGTTCTAATCCTTCAGAATAAACTTAATAAGAAATGTTCCAATCCGTCACAAGGAAAATGATAGAAGTCTGCTGAAAATACATAATTAAATTCAAATAAGTGAAAAGTCAGGCCCAGCGTAGTGGCTCACCCCTGTAATCCTAGCACTTCGGGAGGCTGAGGTGGGCAGATCAGAGGTCAAGAGATCAAGACCAGCCTGGCCAACATGGTGAAACTCTGTCTCTACTAAAAATACAAAAAGTAGCCAGGCGTGGTGGCACGTGCCTGTAGTCCCAGCTACTTGGGAGGCTGAGGCAGGAGAATCACTTGAACCCAGGAGGTGGAGGTTGTAGTGAGCTGAGATGGTGCGATTGCACTCCAGCCTGGGCGACAGAGTGAGACTCTGTCTCAAAAACAAAAACAAAAAAAAAAAAAAAAAAAAAAAAAAAAAAAAAGAGAAGAAAAAGAAAAAGTCACAGTATGTTCCTGAATAGAAGAGTCAACACATGAAGATGCCAGTTTTTCCAAAGTTGGTTTATAAATTTATGCCAATTACTCCCAAAATACCATATATGCCATCAGGTTTTTCTTGGAGCTCCACAATTTTATTATAGTTTTTTTTGACAAAATGAAAGAGTGAGAATAGAAAGGAGCCCTGGGAAATGGAGTAACTGGGATGAGGCAGGCTCAGACACTGGAACCTTCTGTGAGACTCTCTCTGTGGCAGCTTGGTCTTGACGTGTGAATTAGTAAGTAGATCAAAGGAAGAGGGGAAATCATAGAGGCAGATACAACTACATGTGGCAATGGGCTGTAAGATAAAGGGGCATCTCGGATCCGCGGGGAGAGAGGTGTTTTAATAAGTGGTGTTGCAGGCTGGGCCTGATGGCTCACGCCTATAATCCTAGCACTTTGGGAGGCCAAGGCGGGCAGATCGTTTGAAGCCAGGAGTTCAAGACCAGCATGGACAATGGGCGAAAACCCATATCAATATCCATTTTTTAAAAATAGATTTTAAAATATTATTTTAAATTAATATTTTTAAAACTAAGCAGTGCTGCAGTAAACAGATAACATGGGGTCAATTCTTTATAAAGTGGACTGGGACACATTCTCAACAGACATGAGTTTAATGAAAATAAATCAAGCCAGGCATGCCCCAGCAGAGTACACGGGTATGTTCTTCCACAATCCAGCAGCCTTTGAACCTCTGACTCATGTAAAAGGGTTAGCAAACAACAGACTGAGAAGAGTAGTCTCTGCTTAAATTTCTCGGCTCTACCAAGTGCTCCCGGAAATAGAGAAGGAAAGGTCGATCCTCGTATAGAACACAGCTAGAGAAGTGAAGAAGGCACACAAAGAAAGATGCAACTGACGGAACCACACGAAAAGCTCAGCTTCACTCTGAAGAGAAGCTACACAGAGAACCCATTTCTCACCCACAGATGGGAACAACCCACGGATCTGACGTCGAGCTCCGTGGCGATGAGGAGGGAAGCTGGCCTTGCCCGTGCAGCTGTGTGGGGAGGAGGGGTGGTTCTGGTGCCAGTGGGAAGCTGACGCTGGGGCCTGGCACTCCCGGTACCCACCACCCCGTCATGCCCGGCCACACGCAAGGCTCCTGTGCTTGCAGCCTCTCCTTCTCACTTTTTTCTCCATGCCCTTTACCATTTTCCTCCAACCTGGAATCTCCTTTTCCTTTTCCTTTTTTTTTTTTTTTTTTTTTGGAGACGGTATCACTCTGTCACCAGGCTGGAGTGCAATGGCGTGATCTCGACTCACGGCAACCTCTGCCTCCTGGGTTCAAGAGAGTCTCCTGCCTCAGCCTCCCAAGTAGCTGGGACTACAGGTGTGCACCATCACTCTGCTAATTTTTTGTATTTTCATGGACACAGGGTTTCTCCATGTTGCCCAGGGTGGTCTCGAACTCCTGAGCTCAGGCAATCCGCCCACCTCTGCCTCCCAAAGTGCTAGGATTACAGGCATGAGGCACCGCACCAGCCTCCTTTCCCTTTTTCTCTGCCTGGTCAACTCCTGGTCAGCTGAGCTGTGGAGCCCTGGGTCCAGGGCCTCCCCCATCCCTGCCTCCCGCACCCCTGCCTCCTGCCCCGCTGCTGTGTTGGTGGCTTCCGTGCTCAGCGCAGCCTCCTGGGCACTGTCCCTACAGCTCTAGGTCTTGGTGGCAAAACTACACCTTCCTCTCACCTACAGCCCTTGCGTCTAATAGGGTGCCTGGCACATAACAGGTGCTGAGAAAATCCTTGAACTTGAATGACTGTAGAAATGTAACACAAATGTGTGAGTGAGGAATATCATATTGTAAATTCCTGTTCTACGAGAACACAGCCAGGCGTCCGTCAGCTTCCTGATAAATGAATTTTTCTCGGAATAATAACCATTGCTTACTCTTTTTCTCCTTGCATTTTGAATCAATGGCATTACTTTTGGTTTTTGTTTTTTTAAAATAATATTTTTATTTCACTTAGGAAATAACCTTCTTCTGACCCTGAGCCTATTAATAATTTTTTCTGAATAGTAAGAATTAAACTTTTCCCTAATACAAATTTATTTTTAAAATAGGTTAAGGGCTGAGAGTGTTGGCATTTTTTTTAATGGAAATAAAATATTTTGACGTGTTAGTCCCATAAAAAGCTGTTACGAAAACCAATAGCGTTCTGATTTCACAAGAACCATCTGCTCCACTGTTTATAAAAACAAGATGAGACTGAATACTAAACGATATTACCCCAGAATAAATTCTTGCAGAGACTTAAAGTCTCCCTTACTGCTATAGACAGACAGCAAGTGGCACAAATGCTTCCATTGTTCTGGAAGCACAATTTTGACCTTTCCCTTCGACCCTGAGTGTCCTCAGCGTATTCATCTTGATTCGGAGCCTTCTGAGAAGACATGTGCCGACATCAACCATGCGGCTGTTCCACTTCCTTCCTCCCCAAAACAAGGTCACATGACCCCTGAGGGTGGTGTCCCCACCGCAGCGCCCTGGGCTGTGCTGCTCCCCTGCCTATGCAGGAGCCTGGTGCCATCCAAACACCAAGACCTCCTGTCCGAGGCCACCACTTACTAAAAGCACAGCTGAACTAGAGCCGAAGCTTCCCCCTCTGGCCCTCCTGGGACGGTCAAGGGCCTGGAAGTACTTGGAGACTGTCGAGGGCCACATGAAGGTGACGTGCGTGACTGAACGCCACCCAGCTCAAGCCCTAGCAGCTCTGTGACTGTCCTGCCCACAGGAACTTCTCTGTCACTGGGCACTCAGCCATGCACTCCGTGGGAGTCTGGCTGCCTTGCAGGGGTGACCCATACTCACAGCCCGTGCATAAGCAGCGTGGGAAAGGATCATACTGTCAACTTTCTATTCCCAGTCCCACCTGGCTTTATTCCTTCTCTGCAGCTTGGTGCTAAGCACCCAAAAGTGCTCATCAAATCCTTCAGCCCTTCGTGCATTTGGCTGTAAACGTTCAGCCCAATCCTTCATCGGCAGGTCACATGCTTCCTCAAACTGGCTCTTTTCCTTCCCAAGCCTCAGCCTAGGGTGTGTGACCGCAAAGTGCAAGGATTGGAGGTGGGGTCCGGAGGAAGGAAAAAGCTTTTCCCACAATGTATGAACCACTGACGCCAGCTGACGTGGTCCAGCCATCATCCAGCAAGCCACGGTTTTAAACGCGATTTGAACGAAATCCTCATTTCTTGGGATTCAAGGTAAGCCCTTGTCCCAGCCCTGCTGGGCTCCGGCTCTAGCTGGTAAGTCGACGGTGGAAGTGGATAGTATAATGTGCCAAACACTGTTCCAAGAGATGAAGCAGGCGCAGGATATGAGAAGTCGTCCAACCGAGGGATGCAGGGAAACCGAGAAGGATTTGTCGTGAAGGGGACGTTCCTGAGCGACACCTCCAGGTCCTTCATCAGCGACAGTTCCCGAGTCTCGGATGAG